TACCTGTTAACCAAGTCCTATCAAAATATTGTACAAATTGGAAGAATTTAATTTCAACTGGCACAATAACATTAAAAATATTATTATGGAAAAAGATTTCCAATTCCATAGATCCTGCTCTTGAATGTTCATGTGTTAATTGTGGAATTGCCATCGCTATTCATAAAAAATCATGTACCTTTCTACTATATACAATCAAGTTAACTGCAAAATGAATTTATAATATTTAGCAATTATTAATAGTTAGTACCGCCACGGAATACCTACAAGATACCTAATTAATTGAACTTGATCTATTCTGTGATAGTGATATCACGTCGACGTAGGCTATGTTAACAAACAACACGATTGAGACACCACCGTAGAATAAATAATGAACATTAAATTATTATATTATAGAGACTTATCACAAATAAATTGATGTAATATATTTATGTACCTATTATGATTTTATCTCTGCTAGAATGAGAGGCAATGATAAAAATAGGCTTTCTCTCTTCCCCATTATGGCACGCTTCCCTCTATCATTGTTATTATAGCCATGGCCTATCCATATCCATTCTTTAATGTCTATGGGCGCTACCACAGCGCCCGACAACTACACCTCTTGGCAGCCGTCGCGTCGGGCGCGGGCGCTCTCGTTGTGATAAGCGAGCTCCACCGGAGTTGGTGGTCGTCATTCGCTGATAAAACGACGACGACGTCAACTACGAGTCCCGTCGGTTTCCGAAGAGTAGCCGCGTAGGTATTAAAGTGTTATAGTAATAATTAGTATATTCCATTATTATCGTTATCGAGCGTCGTTCCGTTTTTCGATCGTTTTCGATCAGTGATCACACTCTTTCGGTGTACCATCGTCGTCGCCGCCTTCAAGATCTTCGGTCGCGTGACAGCTCTACGATCTGCGATCCACGACCATGTCGCGGCCCATAACCGCGTAGATGAGAGGTGCCCGCCATTCCGGTGAGTTTATCTCGAGCGTCGCGTCACCACCGTCGGACGAGAAGATTTTCGACGCTTCTGTTTGCGATCGAAGCCGCCCGTCCTCCACGGCGGCGGCCGAGACTATTTCCGTACTATTTTGTCCCACTCGCTGCTCCCCGCCCGTCGGTCCCACGCACTAAAAATTCCACACACGCCGATGTCGCGTTCGCGTAAACTGAAAATGCGTTTATATTTAAAACAAAACATACCTACTACTTGCGCTGTTAGACCCAGTTGGACTTGACCCGTATTCTATTGACATTTGGCCCGTCACGATAAACGTTTTATTTCTTGTTGCCAGCTCGAACCGCGTTGTTTTCCAACAGACACTTGTGTAACGTCTTTTCATATACCTAATATGTTATTACTCTCTTTCATAATATTTTCATCTCCACAAATGTGAAAAACAATACCTGTAGGTTTTATTTTTTAATTTTTTTTTTTATTAAAAACGCTACTTAGGTATTTAAATTAATCTACGGAACTTATATCTATCTATTCGAATAATAGAATAGAATTGTTTGAAACTGTCGAAAGAAAACTTCTGACATACATAAAGTGAGTGTGGAACTGTAGAATATTGTTTAGGTAACTTTTTGCTTTTTAGAATTGAGGAACTTCTTCCAATTGGATTAAAAAAATTTGGTTTGTGATTTACTTTATAATTTTCTGTAGCTATTAAATTCACTGTCGATTTTACCATTTATCAATTGGTGAAATAATAGAAATAGAATTTTTTTACTAAATGGTAAAATACTAAAATAGGCAAAATAACAGATGAAATATGTATAAAAAATATTTATTACTTCTTTATTAGGTATTTGTTCAACGTATTTGATAAGCAAATACTTTTACGTTTTAGATACCATTTTACATAGTATGTAAGTACCTATAACTCATTATCTAGGTATTCCAGTTTATATAGAAACATAGTTTGTAGCAATTTAAATAGGTATCTAAGTTATTTATATATTTTTTCTATACCTATTTAAAATTAATCTAAGTTTGTTTAAATAATTTTCATTTTTACAAAATATTAATAGTTATTGATTTCAAAACGTAGATAATACATATAAAATGTGCACTATATTATTTATTTATTACTCATAGTTAAAACCTTTTAAACTAATTGTATCCATTACTTATGTATCTAATTTTTCATAAATAACAAGAAATTTGTTTTGATTCTAGTTGTAAAGTTATATATTAAAATTTACTGAAATTGAGCAGGTCAATAAAAAAATAATAGATGTTAAATGAAAAATAAATGTTGATGAAAATATTAATCTACATATAACACCAGTTAAATATAATATATATATTTATAAATAATCAAATGGTACAGTATTTATAATTTTTTTGTCCTCAATTCTAAAATAATATTTTATGTAAATAGCTTTTTCAATTTGTTGGGCAATGATTCAAATTCGTTGTTTATATAGATAGGTATTTTTTTGGACCATAAGGTCAAAACTTGAAACACTGGAATTTTCTACCGCTAATTATTGCATTTAAATTCTAATTTGTTATTAATCATGTATAATAGTTATATAGTATATACTAAACAATTCTATTATTCTACAAGTTAAACAATAACCTTTCATTATTTAATATTGTTTTTCATTTTATAAAAAAATTATCTTAGGTAAATATTTGTATAAAATTAAATATAAATCAATTAACCAAAATAATTATGTAATTTATTATTTTAAATAACTTTTTTAGTTATTTTTTTAAATTAAAAAAATGTGTAACTTTGACCTAAGCTCAATATCTAACTATTTATAATATTAGTTATTTTATAAAAAGTAATTTACATAATAATGTGGAATGCACAAATAATCAGTACCTATTTCAATAAAAATATTGCTTCAATAATATTATAGAATTATATTTATATAAAGGTAGTTGTTTAATATGCAAATACTATAGGTATTAATTTGTTTTGAGTTACCTATACTCGTTGGTTTATGTTTATTTGACATACATAATTTACCCATTTTTTGATTTACTAAGAAATAATTAAGTACACTTGATAATGTAATTTTATATAGACATTGTATTTGGTTGTACATCCGAAATTATGCTTATACCTATATTTATTCATACAAATGTAATTGTCTAGTTAATTACATTTTTTGAAATATTTAGGTTGAATTTATAATTAATTTATTCATATTTTAATAAGTTGACTATGGCTTACACTAGAGAACACATTATTTAGTACAGAATACATTCATAAAAATTAATCTAATAGAAGAAGAAGTAAAAGTTACAGTTTCAAAGTAAATAATACTAATTAATTACATTTTTTTAATGAAATGTGTGTTTAATAGGATTATTCATTTGTTTTTTTTGTATTTTAGTTTAACAACAATAATAATAATAATGATGAGTTATGTTGGTACATACATAAAACGTATCATTTTTCTTAATTAAATTTGTTTGTTCTACAATTCCAAGGTTTCCTGTTTCACGTCAATTAACTTTGTTTTAGTTTATAACAGATAAAAATATTAATAATTTAGTTCAATACCAAATAATTTTATCATAAACTGGTCAATAATAAATATTGTGTTGTTTTTTCCCTTTAAATAAATTGCATACTATCATTTATTTCCAATATTCCCCAATACATATAAGTAAATTTTATAGATTATTAAAATTCCCAGAAAATTAAAAATAATTTAGTTATTAAACTTTCCGTCTGAGCTATTGTCTGTCATACTACAATTATTTAAATTATCATAGTTACACACTTTTTTAGAGACTGTTGGTGAAATTTTAGTACTTACTTGATTACAAAAAACACATTGGCTGTCATATAGTATGCAATCTACTGGCCATTCTCATCTGCTACATGATATAACCCTTGATATAATCTACTTGCAGATTTCTACACGGGTACATGATACCCGGGTACTCGGGTACACGGGTTACATGATCTTTGATAGATACGGTCTAATCTATTTTCTTTGGTTAACACTTTATCTTTATGACTTGATAATAATGCTGCAATATTTCATAGAAGTATGACATACTCAAACTCTCAATATGCCACTTATTGCGTGACACTAAACTATTTATTCTACATATTATTTTGGCACTCACAAACTCACACACTCAATATGTTGGCAAAATATTTTTATTTAATCATATGTAGTGATGAATCAACCACCAATATTTTAATTAATAAAAATGTTTTGGCAAACAATGAAAATGGCTAACTTAAAAATAATAAGTGTGGAAGTGAGATATATACTTACGTTAGAAAAAGGGCAAAAAACAAAGAGAGATTTAGGTTGCAAACAACTCAAAAAACTTTTCATTTTTTTTTGTGGAATAATACTATAAGGTTTTAAAGAATTTTTTATTTCTTTTTTAATTATTATTTTTTTTATGCCAGTAGACCGCATACTATATTTGTGAATTCACTGATAGACCGCATACCTACTATATGACATCTTAACTCATTTGAATGATATTAAATGTTAATACAACATCAAATAAAGTTAATTTTTTGTTAAATTACTTATAATTTAGAAGTTTTGGTAGATGTTGTATTATTAAGTGGAGGTACTATTGTTTATTCTTAAATTAATATAAATTAAAAAGTAAATAAATATTAAATATGTAAAAATGTTAGCATTGCATATTAGTAATAAATAATGCCTATTTAATGAATTGAACAAATTCTACATATTTTTATTGAAATCAAGTTGTAGATTCAATAAAAGTAGGAAATTAATATCTACCTATTTACACATATCATACAAAAGTTTCACTAAAATAATTGAAAGTGTAATTTATTATGATCTACCTATGTACTAGATAGACTCAAGTATTTATTAATTGTTTACTAGTTAGGTACTATCCCCGGTACTAACCTAATCATAATAATCCCATCCCTAATGTTCAAACAGTTTTAATAATATATAAATTAATATAGATATATTTATGTTAAGATATATTATTAAATAAAATGATCCCTTTTTTAGGTTTTATGAATAAAAAATATGAATTCAGATTATAAGTGGAGAGAGCAAACAACATCAAGACTGAATGGTTCAAAAGCAAGAGATTCTGGTGAAAATGAATCTACCATCAATAACTTTGTTCGTAGACATCAACGCAATCTATCATTACCCATCAATAATGTTTTTCAGCCAACAACGGTAATGTAATTTTACAATCATATTTCAAATTACTAAAGTATATCAAAATTTTAATTTTAGACAAAAGCTGATTCTGTAACTACAATGTCTAATTCTAAAGGTGAGTTCATGTCAATATATGTATTAAATTAAAAGAAACATTTTTAAATGATTTTTCTGTGTGTATTGTGTTTATTTGACTATGTTCAAAATTGCATTGTATTGAAAGTATTGAAATTAAGTTGAAACCCTAATATATTAATGCTATAAACCACATTGTATATTAAGAATTTATTATACAAAGTTACTAAAATATTGACAATTATCTGAGAACTTAGATTTTCGCGGAATGCAATATTAATTATTCCAACCATATTTAAAATATATTAATATATAATATGTTGCATCCACATTTTATGAACTGAATATCTAGATGGTGCAATTAGACCAGATCGTAAACTTTGACAAAATACATTATATGGACATCAATTTCATGAAATGGACAATAATTACTAATTGTATACTTTGTGTAATTATTATAAAACAATTTTTTATGTTATTTAGCAATAAATTAGTAATATAGTAATATATCATAATAAACTATAACATCTACATTTTTTATGAACAAAAATATAACAATTGTCAATAAATTGTATTATATTATATTATTTTTACAAACCATAATATGTTTCTATGTTTTTTTATGAACATAATAATTATTGATGACAATAAAAAATTAATTTTATATAACAAACTAAATATGTTTCTATCTTATTATTTATTTTTGCACAACGATTGATTATGACATCTACTTTTACATAGCATGTTATTTTCAAAACATCCAACCCTACTTGATTGGCAAGGAGTTTAATAGAATATAGTTATAATGTACTTTTAAATCTTAATTAAATTGTATTTTTAACAAGGAACCAAAAAAAAAAATCAGTTGATTTTTAAATTAAGCAATGCTTGCTATATGGAGTACTGAAAGTTGATAAGGGCCCTACAGATCCGCCCAACATAATTTGTGTTGGTTTACATGTTTTAAAAATAGTACAAAAATAGTTCAAATCAGTCAATGTGATAATCAATTGTCTTGGAAAAATAAATAATATGATAGATAAATATATTATAGTTAAATATAGTTCATAACATAAAATTAAATTTTTATTATCATTATTAATTATTGTTTAAATTAATCAGTTAATCATTTTGTTCATAATTAAACAATACATAAATATAAATACGGTTAATTTATAAATAAAATATTTATGGTTTATTAAAAATAAATAAAAATATAATATAGTATAATTTATTGTTTATTGTTATATTTTTGTTCTTAAAACAATATAGAAAAAGTTTAGTTTACTATGATACAATATAATTTATTACTACATCATTTAAATTACAATAATTTTTTTTATAATAATTACACACAGTATACATTATTATAGTATGGTCCATGTCATGAAATGGGATGTCCATACAATGTAGTTTCGTCAAAGTTCACGATCTGGACAAATTTTACTATCCAGTTTATGAAATTAGTGATTTCACTATATGCTACGTAACATACGTATATATATTTATATCCTTAAATAATTTCAAAAACCTAATTGAAGGACTTTTAAAACAATTAATAAAATATTATTTTGGTGTAATACTTGTAGGTTTGAATAAATACAAAAATTTCTTTTTTAATTTCTGTAGGCAACGGAATATCTTATTCTAGTCCAGTTCACAAAAATTACCAAGAATCCAATGACTGTGATGATTCCTCTTCAAATAGTGATACTGGTAGTACAGGTACTTACATTATTGAGAGAAATGATACATCTAATGATAACAAATCAGAACAATCACCAGATTACGACGATAGTGTTGATGATTTTAAAAAGTCCAATTCAATGGTCAAGGTAATTTATTTATTTTTAATATAAATTAAATTTTTTCTTTATAATTTTAGTTTAATTTATATTATATTTGTAATTGTGTCTGTAGAAACTACGTTCTAGTTGGGTCAATGAATGGCATTCAAAATTGAATCAAAACAAATCATCTCTTTCAAGCCCAATTCCTCTACTAAAATCTGGTGAGAGTACTGTTTAAATTTAATTTAATTGGTCTCATTAATTATTTATTAAAATAATTTTGTTTTTTATAGACATCAAACCTAATTCACCAATTTTAATGAAACATACAAGGAAATCAAATATTCCGTTGCCAAATGCATCTAGTATAAAAGACTTAAGTGTATGGTGCTTTGTTAGAATAATTTTAATGAATACATTTAAACTTTTATTTATGCTTGCACGTCAAAATGTCAAATATAACTTATATAGGCAGTTACAAATAATTTTATAATATCTGTTTTTTATAGGAAAATAGTGTTAAAAGTATAAGCAGTGATGATGATACCAGATTACTTTTAAAAGATGCTGAGAATTGTGTTTCTATGCTAGAAGCTAAAGTTGAAAAAACTGTTCACACTGCAATTCAATATAATCGAACTTTTAAGTATGGATCATTAATATTATTTTTATTTTAAGTAAATATTGAAATTTTAACAAAGTATTAAATGATTTTAGCTTGCGCCGTGATAGATTTGCAAAGCCGCAACAAGACACAAATAAAAAAAATGTAGACTCCAAGACTGCTAATGATAAATCTAACTTATATAAGCCTTCAAGCCAAAATTTAAGTTCATCATTGTCGAGAGTTGATTGTGGGCGTTATAGTTTAAGAACATCCAGAGTGCCTCAACCAAATTCAGTACGTGGGGTTATACACTTATACCTACTTTTAAACATTATTCAATTTAAAAAAAAAATGTATTTTATATTATTTTAGTCACCGTTGTTGTCTGCTCGCAAAAATTTATCATCAAAAAAAAAATGGAACTCAAGTATACTTTGCAACAAAGTTCAAACTCCAAATAAGGAAACAGAATTGGAAAATTGGAAACGACGTAAAAATTATGACCCATTAAAAGCAGCCGCACAAGGAAAGAAAAAAGATCATCAAAAACCATCGTCATTTTCCAAGGAGTTAGTAATTTGTTTTGTATTTTAATGAAAACATATGTAAACACTTCTTAAAATTAATTTTTGAAATGTAGAAAGAGTGTTGAAAATTCTGGTAATCCAGTTTTAAGATCAGCATCTTTTCATGGTCGAGATGGTTTTTCTCAAGAGGATGATAGTGATGGGTGGGAACAAAAAAGTTTGCATTTCTATGATCATGTTGATGATTGGCATAAATTACCACAACCACCTGCTGTAAGTATATTGTAATAATTTTTTTATTACTTTGTGATGTCTGTGATGTAAAATGATTGATTTTGGTTGATAATTTAGACATCTAGAGATCATTCACCTCCGCCATCCAAGAACGAAAATCTTTCTTCATCAGCAAATTCATCACTAGCTATGTTGCCTACTCTGGTTCGTTAGTTAAATTTTGTAAATAGAAAATTCTCAAAAATATTTTATTGTATATTATGTTAATCTAGATATCGGCACATAATGGCTCACCTACGTTTTTGCACAAATCATTGTCTGCATTTAATAGCTCTACAAGCTCTTCTCTTGATGTCAGTTCAATGGTAAAGACTAACTTAACATTTGTATAAATATTAGAGTTTACATTGTATTTAATTTTTTAGCCAGATGCTTTGTTTGACGATAAAGATACATTGGATATGGTTCAGTTATCGTATAAAGCCAAAAAACGTGGTATTGAACTTATGAAGAGAATAAGGTTTGTAATACTTACACCGCTGATAATATTATGGTATAATAACATTTAATGTAATTTTATTTTTTATTTTAGAAAAGAGTTACCTGAACATGATGATATAGTACTTACTAGGGGTATTGCAAGTATTGATATAATGGATGATTCATTCCATATTCCAATGAAATCATGGGGTATGTCAGTGTCGGCAACTAATATTAACTGTGTCGATAATATATTCAGAAGTAAGAATTAATCAAGTTAAATAAAATTGTAAATCTGTGCCGGAATAAGAATATGACGAGGTGAATGATATGACAACCAGTTTCTGATTGATTGTGTATGTTACTCGAGCGTGATGTATAATAATTATGTATGTGTATAAAAGTAGTATTGGCTTAGATTAAGTTGTTTTGTCCCAGTCCACATACACAATGAGGCATATTCTGATTCCAGCACAGGTACACATTAAATTTTATTTTTACATACAAAATCCATTTAACATGGTGCTTATTATCTTCATCAAATTTTGTGTTCATTATCAATATCAATTTGAATATACTGTTTTATTATTTTATTTCAAACTTAAATGATGAAATTTATATTTTCTTGAATATTAATTAGGTAGTGAAATACTAGCTAGAGCTTAGACAGAAATGAGTAATGACCAAAAAATTATAGAACATGCAACATATTAATTCAGTTTTGCTCAAACATAAAAAAAATCACAAAATAAATCCAAAAATATGTATTTTATATAGGAATGGGCCGATTCTAGAACCGATACTGGATAGCGGCCGATATCGGTGGTATCGGTTTTTTTTTCAAAACCGATACTTCAACGTATACAAAAAAAAAACCTATCGATCAGCATACTAGCATAGTATCATAATTCACAAATCCATAGATTAGGTTATCAATAATCAAATACTATAGATTATTGACAGGACTGTCGTTGTTACCACATTTCAATAATATTTTAACAGCAATATTATTTTTAAAAATTCAAAATTGTAATACAATAGATAACAATGCTATATCTAGTCACAGTGTCACACACACACTACTAGTTAGCAGTTACTAGTGTTACTACTTATGAGGTTACTAAATATTAAATAGTTAATAGTTAATACAATAATACTAGTGTATTGTATTTATATTATTAAATTTAATAATTATTGCTTATTAGTTAGTATGTCAGTTGCTTGGAATTTTTTCATTAAATGTCCAGATGATGTTTTGAAGGCGCAATGTTCGCTTTGAAACAAAAGAGTTTGTAGAGGAGGTACTAATTCTCGAGATTTCACTACCTCAAACCTGATTAAACACCTCAAAAATAACTATAATAATGAGTTTCTTTTATTTAATAGACTACTATGTATTAATATTAAAGTATTAAAGACTGAAAAATAAACATGTGATAACTTTTAAATAATAATTATTAATTTAATACCATTAATAAATAATAATCAATATTTTTACTTTTCTAGTTAATATTTGTGTTATCGGGTATCGGTTTTATTATATATCGGTTGATGGTATCGGTTTTATAGTGGTATCGGCTCATATATTTTTATCAAAAATGTTGTTTTAACATTTCCATATATTATCGGGTACCGAATTTATATCGGCAGCATATATCGGAGTATCGGATATCGCTAATAAGTGGTATCGGCCCATCCCTAATTTTATATCTGAACAATATAAACTAATTTGATAAGCTTAATATGATAAAATATTCAATTAAATGGAAATAAGATTCAAAATTGTAATACAAGGTTTATAAATCAATTATATTCTAATTAAATTATCTTTTATTTAGATATAATTCTAATGATGAAAAAAAACCATGTAATTTCGCATTTGAGATTTACTTTTAACATTATAAGAAAGCAAAATATATTTCTATAAAATAAACTAATTTTTAGAATTTTAGTTTTAAGTTATACCGTTTTGTATTTCAATGCTTATTAAAAATAATTTGATTTTAGTACTTGAAAACGTTTTATTCAAAGACAATGATAGCAGAGAAAATAATTCAGACAACTAATCTCCAAATATTTTCTTAAGTTAAGTTATTGTTTTTTTTTTATTATTATTATTATTATTATGTTATATTACTGCAATGCCAAATTTACCGTGTGATAAAATACAATAGTGTAATATTATATTTTAAAATAATTGATATTAGTTTTAATTTATTTGTTAAACAATATACTTATTAAAAAAATATATAAATCATCAGTATTATTATGCTATGTATACATGCAAACTAAGGTGGTATTTTTTTATTCTGAAACTTTGTACTTTTAAGCATAGTATAAATGTGTAAAGTGAGTATTATCCTATAAAATATATCACTTATTGTGTTGCTTAATATTTGTCTTTCTCACAGATTTCTGGTAATGTGATGTTTGGTGGCTTGTACAGAGGTCTGCAAAAATGATACATATTATGATGGCGGCGGTATGGAATGAGTTGCTGATCTTGTTTTGAAACTGTTTGGACTTTGGTGTATTTATGTTTTAGCATAATTAATGATTTGTAGATAACGTAAATTATCTCCACCACGCTGACCAAACTGCAGCCAAGAAACAAACTTGCCATCCCACCAAATGTCACTAATACAATTTAGAACATGAGTTTAATTTATTTTCTGACAAAATATCCTAATGTTTGCTCATAGTACTGTAAAATTTAGTATATAATATACCACAAACTGCTATAATCGTTAATGACATACAACGATCAGATAGAATAATTATATATTTTAAATCAGCTTTGAATTACTAATGCCGGGTTGCACAAAATCAATCTTTAACTAATTTAATGGTTTGTCTTAATCACAAACTATTAAAAGTTAATTTAACTATAGGTTAACTCAGTTAAGTTAAGAGTTAATACACACTTTTTGTTAACTTTTTATCAAGTTGAAAAAAAAGTTAATTTGTTTATACAAGGTTAGGTTTTTATATTTTCCAACCCAAAACTAAATTATAGTGTTTATACTTTATACAGTATTTCCATATAAGTTAGACTCAATTGCTATACATTTTTAACTTTAAACAATTCACGGTAATTATTTTTTGACATGAAAACGAAATATACTGAAATAGTGAAATATGATAAAATTTAAAACAAAATAAATTAACTAAAGGGGTTGCAGCAGATGAAAAAAAAGTGACTTTTAGATCAATAAGCTAGACAAAAATGGAAGAATTTGGCAGATTTTAATTTTAAAACGGGTTATGATTGACCAACAAGTTTACTAGAGAATGATCTAGGCAATTTTGATTATTTTTTTTTCAGCTGTGATATCCAAGAAAAAAGATATCGAAAAAATATGATATTTTTGTATTTATATTATTGGTTATTACACTAACAATAATTGGAATATTCAAAATCACCTCGATCATTCCCTAATAAACTTGTTGATCAATCATAATCCGTTTCTAAAATTAAAATCTGTCAAACCAAATTTTTCCAGTTTTGTCTAGCTTATTGATCTAAAAGTCACTTTTTTTTTTCATTAACTGGAGCCCTCTCCAGCCCCCTATTTAAATATATTGAAAAACATTATAACAAACAAAATTAATGTTTAGATTGGTCAAATTTACATTAGTTTTGACTTTTGACAAAACCTGCTGCAGCCCCCTTAACTTATTTCAAGTTAATTAAAAAAGAAATTTAGTAAGTTAACAGTTAAGTTAATGAAAACCCAGAAGTAACTAGTTAAGCTAAAAAGTTAGAATAAAATAAATTTTTTAACTTAACTTTAACTTTTTAACTCGATAATTCCCAGCCTTGTTGTAATTTATAATATTTGTCGGAAAAGAAACTTCGTTTCTACCATGTGTCCCAATGACACGACTCACTTTTTTTATTTCTTATAGCAGGCTTATAATAATGCTTATAATCCTAATGCTAACCCACCTAATTGATCAATTTTAAGTAAAAGTTTAAAACTATTATCAATTTAACACAAATTACTATTTTAAAAAAAATGTACACCATATATTATATATATTAAAATAGCTCACGGACCATACAATGTTAACCACTTATATAGATAGATAAATAGATAATTGATAAAAAATAATAGATAATAAATACATAATTTGCACATTTTGAATGTAACTTTTAATTTTTAACAATGGAAATTGGAAGTACATGTTACTAGTATAGGTAAGTATACTAGGTATCTTGAGATTTGAGAAAAATATAACTGTATGTTAAACCGTTGCTTAAATATTTAGTGAGCTGAAATCTGATCACTACTGATCACTATTTAATGCCGTAATGGTCATTAATGAGCCTAATGTATTCATTCAATAGCGTGCTATTGGTTCATTAAATGTTTAATAAAAATTTATGCAACACGGCATTAATCTATTTAATTGTATTAAACTAATTTATTTAGGTTTAAGATACGTATAGAAATATTATATGTAGGTACAGTTTACACATAGCTACTTGCAGTTGCAGGTACCTACCACAACTTTTGAATTATGAAACCTGTTAAGTTTACCTAATAAATCCTGTGTAGTGTACATCATAGACCTTAGGTAACTTATGGCAAATCTTTCTTTGTAGTGTACCTCTATGTGTGTATAAGCATGTGGAAACTGTGTGTGAGCCAAAAAGTCCCTAAAAGAACAAATATGATTTATACACAGAAGTATCACAAAAATATATTTATACGGATAGGTAGGTATTAATATTTCATCAGTATTTTCTTGTACCTATCTAACCTACCTATCTAAATTAAATCAAAATAAAAAATATTTATCACCAGAACCAAAACAGTGGCACCTGGCTATCAATTTACCTACTTTGCATAATTACGGATTTCGGTCGTGTATCCTACGAACGAACACGGGTGCGGGCAACTACAGTTCATGAAATCCTGTGCATTCCATTTGGGATCTCCAAGTTCTTCTTCTGAAACCTGGACGTTGCGTTGAAGCACTACAAAATGTGATAAACAGCTGTTAAGTTTGTCATCTCATCCCTGGTGTAAACTAGTAATTTTTAGGTATAGGTACTGTGTGCCAAATAATATTTATTAGGTACCTAGGTACACTAAATAAGTCAAACCAGCTCGACTAACTAGGATATAAGAAATTAGGTAGGTGTTGTATTTTTAGTTTTCGGGTATTTGATTGTTTGAACGTTAGAACCATATAAATGTTGTGTTATTTGATTTTAATTTATACTGATTCTTTAACGATCCCTAAATTAAATTATAGTCTTATGTTTAACAATTAAGATTACCTATATTATATTATATTATATCAAAAAAAAATGTTTATTCTAGCGATATACCTATAATGGTTTAATTTTTTACAATGATTTGTGTTTGTCATCACCTTTTGAAGCATTAAAAGTGATTTAATGGTTTCTAGCAGCAAATTCTATCTAGTTGATACATTAGTGATGAAAAGTAAAAAATGTACAGTACCTACCTACTTTACTAAATACTAAATAAGTAGTAAATAATATAGGAAAATGAAAAAAAAAAATGTCGGAAAACTCAAAATATTTACGTATAAGTATTAGGTACCAGTTTTTTACAAAATCAATTTTGTTAGTATCTTTGCTAGCGGTTTTGAGTTCCAAAATCAGATCCAGATATTATACGTAATTAGAAGGTATGCGATGTTTTAGGCAAATATTAGTTTAGCATAAGTAGGCACTGCGTATTACTATCATAGATAAATAAATAAATTACTAATTAAGTATTATATTATAATAGTAATATGCATTCTTATGAGATATTTCTTTGGCCAATAATAACTGAGAAGTGAGAACTAATATATTATAATTAAAGAGCCGATTTTTGTGCAGCTAAAATCTAAAAGATGTGCAATCAAAATATTAAAATGTTCAAAAACAAAAATGTCATTATAGGTAGGTACCTACTTCAAATTAAAATTTCAATACTATTTTTTTTATACTATTATTTATTACTAATTATATTTATTACTATTTATTAATAAAATAATAATAAACTAACAATATGTATACAACTGACTTTACAATATTCGATTAAAATTTATAATCATGTAGGTACATTTCCAAGTTTTTTCTTTAAAATGATGTCTTCTGTCACTTAATATGTGTTTTAACTGCGAAAACACGTTTTACGTCAGCACTTGTCAGTTGTCGTCGGGCATTGTTTGTACCCTAGTTTAACCCCCCCCCCCCACCAAGTAAAATACGAATAATGATTTTTTTTTATGGAATATTATATTTAGACTAGGATCATATTATGTGTTTTGTCGGTCGGTCACTTCCCGGTGGTTTTAAAAGGTTCCGTATATCGGTCTAGTCTGGCCCCGATAACGCGTTAATATTTTTGTCGAAAAATAATTACTGTCATTCCATGTTACATTTTATTACATGGCCACATGGGTCATGGTTGTTTATGAGCAAAGTACTAAGTTCATACACAGATATACGTGTGCGTGTAATGTGTATAATAGATAATATTTTGTAATCGTAATATCGTTGCTATATCTACTTTGAATCACGCGATTTGACATAATAATAAATATTATATACCAACTAAACTATTGTGCATGTCTTTAAATATAAGAAGAATACAATTGTATAAACATTTTTAGATTCTGAGCGGAGCGATGAATGTATTGGTTTTACAATGATGTATGTTTTTATATTTTTATATTTTTATTTATATTTTTGTGTCTGTCATCACGTTTTGGGACAGTAAAAGTGCTTCGATTTTCTTCAATAGTACCTTTTCTGATAGGAAAGTGAATCTAGTTGGTACTTTGGGGGGTCAAAAGTAAACATTTTCCAGTAGTTTTCACAAGCGCCGGGAAAAACAACATAAAAATTAAGGAAAAACGGGAATTTTTACGCAAAATCGATTTTCCAAAAAATCGAATTTGGTTATTGGTGTAACTTTAAAACAAATGACCGTAGATACATGAAATTTTCACTGGTTGTTTATATTTGCATTTTCTATACACGATAACATTTTCAAAATATTTTGATTTATTTTGAACTGTTTAGGGACATTTTCATTTTTCATTTTTTTTTAGTTTTTTTTCTAGAAATATCAATAAAATTTTATTTGTTGGTTGCGAAAGCTTGAAAATTTAATAGAAGGCTCCTAATATGTTGTTTCAAAGACAGATGAAAAATATTAAAAATCCTTAGTCACAATTTTTTTTTATAAGCATTTAAAGTTCAAAAATTGACAAAATATGGAAAAATCACGAAAATTAGCAAATTATTTTGAGTTAAGAATTCGTAAAAATTTTTCTTTTTAAATCTAAGATTTGAAAATGAAACACAAGATTCTTTATAAGATTATCTACCTTTATCAATAAAAAAATCTCTACCGGACAGTCAAATTAAATTTTTATGAGCGTTTGAAATTCAAATTTTTACAACATTGGATTTTCACTCGATTTCTCATGTAGCGATTTCCTTATTTTGTTGTAATTCAAAAACGAATAACTGTAGGTACATGAAAATTTCACTGAATGTTTATATTAGCATTTCCTATACACCATACAATTTTGAAAATATTTTGACTCTTTTTGAGCTGTTTATGGACATTTACAGCTTTCAATTTTTTTTAGTTTTTTTTTTCTATAAATATCAATAAAGTTTTATCTGTTGGGCCAAAAAGTGTAAAAATTTAATACAAGGCTCCTGATATATTGTTACAATATCAGTTGAAAAATATTAAAAATACATAGGCACGATTTTTTTTTATAAGCATTTAAAGTTGGAATTTTGACAAAATTTATCAAAATCTCGAAAATTATCAATCGTTGGAATTAAAAAATTATAAAATGTTCAGTTTTTATAACTAAGAGTTGAAAATTTAAAACAAAGATTCTCTTAAATAATTCATACTGTAACCAAAAAATCTAAAAAATATATAAACACACTTATTTTTTACAGACATTTTAATTTCAAATTTAGACAAAATTTCATATTTAAACCAAGAATTACGATTTTAGTTATTTTGTTGTGATTGTATAATATTATTCGTGGGTACTTGAAATTTCTAAAGTAATCTACTATATATATCTATGATAGTATCAGGGTTTGTTGTTGGTGTATAACGCGTTATAAGTACCTAATGGATATTGGATATGATTAATTTGGAATTCATTATAGGTCAATTTTTTTTAATACCATAGATATGTATATAATATGTCTTATACCTAGAAGGACATACCGTCTCCGCTCAGAATCGTTTTTCTTATACAATGATATTATATCATTGAATTCAAATTTAATACCATCCATTATACAATGACCCACTTGTAACCTACTGTACAGCAGAGCGACACCCACTTGCCCACCTTTTTTTTTTTTTAAATTGTATATAAAATATGGTAACCCCCCCATTAACGAATTCTGCTTACGCCACTGGTTTGTAGCAGCTTATAATAGCAGGATTTTCTTTTAAATCTACGTCATTTCCATTTATTGAATCGTTGTATACTTTTAAAATATTGTATCCGGGATTTTTATCAAATACTGATTTGAATTTTTCATACAATATGTGTCCCTTTTCATTCTCAATTGTCTTAAGTCCATCTCTTACTGTTTCAACTACATTTATTTGATAATTTAAAGTAGAATTTTGTTTCTCAAGTTTTGTAATTGAATTTGGGAACTCGGACAAATGTGATCGAATAAATGTTAAATCAGATATAATTGATGTAGCACTCAAAATAGATTTTACTTTTTTGACAGATTGGGAGTCATCTTCTATATTAGATAAATATTCAATATTCCTTAAATTTACTGAAATTTTCAGAGTAAAACAAAGCAGCTTCTAACCATGTTCCCCACCTCGTTATTAGAGGTTCTGGAGGAAGGCGACAGTCCATTTTCATAATTACGTCGTATTATATCGTTATATACATATATTTTATAATTTTATTGCTAAATATAAAAGTCCAATACTTTGTATAACAACATAATATAGCACCGATGAAAATAATACAAAAATACAAAAATATTTGTACAAAAGTACATTTTTATAAAAAAAAAACCCGAAAAGTGCAATTTTGTGCAACATAAAACTTTCTTTAAATTACCATCTCTACATATTCTCTTGATTTGGATTTGTAGCTTGTTTCTATTGAATTTAAAACACGCCATAAAAAGATGCAATTTCATGGGAATCCGGTCTTTAATTATAATATATATATATATAATAACCCCCCTTAAAAAAATTAATTTCTAAGCATGCCACCGCCCAAACAATAACACTGTTCATGATACAATATGTCGTAAAAATATATATGGCTATGTAGCACTAGATAAATATTTCTCTGATTTAATTGGGTAGCCCCCAACCTACCAAAAAAAAATCTAGAGCCTATTTGTGCCTATGCAATTGTTCCTAATTTTATCGTTTATCGATTATATCTTAAACCTTAGTTTTAGGTGCCTATATGAAATATGAGATTTATTAAGGTTTTATTATTAACGGGGTTGCAACCCAAGTATGTTTCATACGTTTTAGACCAATAGGCGGTGGTAAATTACACATACTTCGGAATGTCCGATTTAAATTTTTCATACATGTTTGAATTCATTGATAAAATATCTAGGTTTCTTAGGAAGTCTATTTTCAATTTAAAATGACCTTTAAATAACAATTTTTTTTTTAGAAATCCCATGAAATAATTGCATTACATTTGTATTTATTTTGGGCACATCTGATTTTAAATTAAAAAAAGTGATTCCTAAGAAATCATCATTGTCTAGACGTTTATAAATTTAACCATTTTTTCGAAATTACAATCGAAATTCGGAAAGTATGATTAATTTACTAGTGCTTTTAATAGTTTTATAGTCATGCAAACAAGAATATATTTCATTTTTCGCGATGTATTGACATGACGTGCGTGCGCGTGTGAGAGTTGCTTCCGGCGCGGTTGCCCGACTCGACGTGCAGCGATTCTCGGAAACGATAACGGATTACGCACACTAATGTTCATTTACTACTTACACACAGATACAGTATTAATTTATATGTCACATGCATTGCCTAAATAGTACTCCTTAAAATATGGTAAGGTGCAGCCCCCTTAAATACCTACGTGTTGGTATTATATATACTTGCAGCAATTTGAACAGCATATTGTACACTGATACCTATTCTGTCATTTGATAAAGCTTTTGAGTATTGGTATATCAACAGATTTGAACTAATTAATAAATGTATCAATAGGTTTTTGGAAGTTAAGAACTACAATTATTATATTGTACACTAAATATTTATAGTAGATAAAAAATTGAATTATCAAATTTTCGTTTAAAATAATATTCCTTGCCTATAATTATAGGTAGATATATACCTTCGAGCTAAAAGACCATGATTGTAAACGATTCATAGAGACTCTTGTGTTTGTTTCTTATTAATAAAAGTAATACCAATAATACATATACCAATATGACAAAACTTATATGACTTAATTTTTGTGAAAACTATTGTTCATTTTAAATAAAGAGTAAGTAAATAAACTATTTACTAGTATAATTGAATAAAATATGTAGTTTTAAATAAGACCCTAATAGTTTTAATACATTTGCAATTACATTTAATTACCTACTTTACCACGTATACAGGGGGGATTTGGGGGTTCAACCTTAAATTAATAGTTGTGTAATTTATTTTTATATATAGATTATGAACCCCCCTTCCTCCCGAATTTTTTTTTGTGTACGTACCTGTACTTTACTATAGTAAATAATTATTAATACAGTTTAGTGAACAATTTCAAAACTAAAACAATTTTTAAAGTTCTTTACAGAAATGTAGTTTTTGATAATACTTCACAGTTCACAATAGTGCATTATGTATTATTATATTATAAATGTAAATGATATGTTGAATTAAGAGTACCTGCAGGCTGCAGCTTCATAGTAAATTATATATTTATATACTATACATATAGACTATACTCCAGCCCACGAGAGTCTGACCGTAAAGGTCCCTACACACTGCAGCGGTGGCGGTAGCGGTTACAGCAAAATGAGTACGGACACAATCACGTACGTTTAACACCACCGCCAAGACAAAAGAATTTTTCCACCCCTCATTGCGTAACCTAACCTAACCTTGCCGAGTAATGGAAATGGAACCAAGGTGGGAGAAAATTATTTTTGCAAACCAGTATTGATACGTGGTTTACGGTCGGACTACATAGAGGGCCGGAGTATATAGAACTAATATAAGCGCATTGATCGGTTATTATAAATTATAATTATTAATAAATCACACATCACACGGATAACGAGAGAATAAACAAAACAGATATAACAAGTCCGATAGAATCGATAAATTATCATGCTATAATTTAGTAGGTATTTACTTTGCCATCCTTTCTGACGTCTTGCTGTTGAACGAATAACAAAATCCTTCTTCAGTTCGTTGCAATCGTAATATATCCGTACAATTGAAACCGGTGCCTCTCCAATAGCACGCATCGAACACCTCGTCAACAGTCGGCATAAGCTAAAACGCATTGTGACAGTGGATGGCATAAATATTATAATAATAGTAGTAGTCGTACTATGTAATATTACTATGCAGTAGCGGATCTAGAATTTTTTTTTTGGGTGAAGCCCATTATCTTTTTCCAAGTTTTATTACACAAATATTTAAAAATGGCTCATCAACCTAGATTCTAGGCCAATGAGCCTTAAATCCACCACTGTTACTAGGTATATAAGACGTGTTACTTTTAACATGAGATCGGTAATGTTATCTACTGGTAAATCAATCAGATCAGGATTAGCTTCAGCGAAGACTGTTAGATCTTTGTAGAATGGATATTGTAGCATTTCCAAAATGTATAACGAGTTTTCGTATTTTCTTTTTATTTCCGGTTCATTTTCGTATTTACTGAAAACAAATCACTCAGGTTATACAAAGTGTTCAGTTAACTACCCGGTGACACGGCCCGCATTAGTAGCAAGTACAATGTACAAGCACTATAATAATAGCGACCTGCAGTCTAGCTTATCTCCAACCACCACTACGGGATGCAAGCAGTGCGACCGGGTTGACTCTCCAACCAAGCCGGTAACGGTAAGGCGTGACGGGGGACTGTGTCTGGTAAGACGTACAACGGTCGGCGGAAAAGGCGATTCGAGTATCCACTATATAGAACCGTTGGACCGATAACATATTGTCTGACGTTAAAATCATCGCCTGAGCGGCGTGACAGTACCTATATATATATACTTTGGTCGTAATAATATAATACATATTTAAAGAGACAATCATAATTCATAAAGTGTTTGTGTTGTGTTTTTTTTCATCACCTCAATCTAAACCAGTCAATATATTTAAATGTATTTTTTTTACAGTAATAAGTGTGAAAATTCTGATTGAATAGCATACTATTCGCTGTTTTTTTTCAAAAATTCAAAAATTTCCAAACATTTTTTTTAGGAAAATAAGTTTTTGAAATTTCCAAGACAGCCATTTTGTTGATCGTATTTTTTAAAACATTTTAAAATTTAGTGAAAATCGACCAATTTATAGCTTATAATTATTTTGAGTTTCTAAGTATAATAGTTATGTGTTATGTTATTTTTAATTGTTTAACAATAATTAGGTAGGTACAAAACAAAAAGTTAGGTATGGCTAAAGACGACAGTACGCTGTACGACGAAACTAATAAGTAATATCTATAAAGAAAGGCCACAAGTGAATAATTTTAATTATAATTTACAAAACTGAGATATGCATAAATATTATTACTGTAAATTACATTAATAACTGTAAGATAAAAACATAGACCAGGGAGCCAGGGCTATTTGTGCCATTTTGTAATTTTAGGTTCACTTCATGATAATTAAAATACTTAAAAATAGGTAACCAGTTGTTTCTCTGTTTAGTAAACGATAAGACACAGCTATTGCTATTTCTATTAAAATCGAAACTTTTACTAGATTGTGTATTAGTTTTGTCAGATTGAAATTAAAAAAAGGTGCTCTGCTGTACAGTAGGTTACAAGTGGGTCACTGTACAATGGATGGTATTAAATTTGAATTCAATGATATAATATCATTGTATAAGAAAAACGATTCTAAGCGAAAAAGGTCAGTCAGCCTATGAGTACTAAGTATATTTGATGATATTATTGTGAATAAAGTAATTATTTATATATTATTTACCTATGTTGTCAATTATAAGAATTGATAAAATAAACACTCAGTGAAACTTTCATTTTAAATTTGATACATTTTGTCAAAATTCGATCTTTAAATGCTTATAAAAAAAATTGTGCCTATGTGTTTTTAATATTTTTCAACTGGTATTGTAAAAATATATCAGGAGCTCTGTATCAAATTTTTACATTTTTTGGTCCAACAGATAAAACTTTATTGATATTTATAAAAAAAAAACTAAAAAAATTGATAACTGAAAATGTCCGTAAACAGCTCAAAAAGAGTCAAAATATTTTCAAAATTGTATGGTGTATAGGAAATGTTAATATAAACATTTAGAGAAATTTTCAGGTACCTATCTACAGTTGTTCGTTTTTGAATTACAACAAAATAAAGAAGTCGCCGCATGAGAAATCGAGTGAATATCCAATATTGTAAAATAATGAACTTCAAACGCTCATAAAAATGTAATTTGATTTGCTTGTAGACATTTTTTAGATTCTGAGTGAAACGATGAATGTATTGATTTTACAATGATGTGTCTTTTTTTTTTTTTTTTGTGTCTGTCATCACGTTTTAGGACAGTAAAAGTTCTTGGATATTCTTCAACAGTAGCTTTTCTAATAGGAAAGTGAATCTAGTTGGTACTTTAAGGGGGTCAAAAGTGCAAATTTCCCAGTAGTATTCAAAAGCGGCGTGAAAAACAAAATAAAAATTAAGGAAAAACGGGGATTTTGGTTTTTGGTGCAACTCTTAAACAAATGACCGTAGGTACATGAAATTTTGACTGAATGTTTATATTAGCATTTTCTATACACGATAACATTTTCAAAATGTTTTGATTTATTTTGAACTGTTTAGGCACATTTTCATTTTCCATTTTTTTTTAGTTTTTTTTCTAAAAATATCAATAAAATTTTATTTGTTGGTTAAAAAAGCTTGAAAATTGAATACAAGATTCCTACTATATTGTTACAATGGCATTTGAAAAATATTAAAAATCCTAAAAATCACGAAAATTAGCAAATTATTTTGAGTTAAGAATTCGTAAAAATTTTTCTTTTAAATCTAAGGTTTTAAAATGTAATAAAAGATTCCTTATAAGATTATCTACCTTTATCAAAAAAAAAAGTCTATAAGATGGTCAAATTAAATTTTTATGAGCGTTTGAAATTCAAATTTTTACAACATTGGATATTCACTCAATTTCTCATGTAGCGATTTCCTTATTTTGTTGTAATTCAAAAACGAATAACTGTAGATATATGAAAATTTCACTGAATGTTTATATTAGCATTTCCTATACACCATACAGTTTTGAAAATATTTTGACTCTTTTTGGGCTGTTTACGGACATTTTCAGTTTTCAATTTTTTTAGTTTTTTATTCTATAAATATCAATAAAGTTTTATCTGTTGGGCCAAAAAGTGTAAAAATATAATACAAGGCTCCTGATAAATTGTTACAATATCAGTTGAAAAATATTAAAAATACATAGACTCAATTTTTTTTATAAGCATTTAAAGATCGAATTTTGACAAAATTTATCAAATTTAAAATTGAATAATTATTTTGTTGTTAAAAATTTATAAAATGTTCAAATTTATATCTAAGGATTGAAAATTTAAAACAAGATTCCACGTCAGTAGTTTATTCTGTTACCAAAAAATATAAAAAATACAGTAGGACAGTTTATTTTTATATTCATTTTAAGTTCAAATTTGGACGAAATTACATAATAAAAAACCTATAATAACTATTTTAGTTATTTTGTTGTGATAAATACAATATTGTATAATATTATTCGTGGGTACTTGATACTTCTTAAGTATACTACTATATATCTATGATAGTATCAGGGTTTGTTGTTGACGTATAACCAGGGCTGGATCAAGGGGGGGGGGCTAGGGGGGGCTATAGCCCCGGGCCGCAAGTTGAAAGGGGCCACAGTGTGTCATTTTTTTTCAAAACATTATTATAACTTATAAATTTGTGGTCTTGTCGTAATGATGCTATTGAAGCATTAGCTGGTAATTATGATGAGATATATAATACGTTATCTGACATTTCTAAAGATATGAATGAAAATGCTGACACTCGTCATGATGCCAATTCAATTAAGAAAAAGTTAATAAAATTAGAAATAGCTTTTATGACTATTTTTTGGAAACGTGTTCTAGGCAGATTCAATGCTACAAGTGTTTATTTACAAAGAATTGAAATTGATATGGTCACTGGTAATCAGTGTTGTAAAAAATACTTTTAAAAAGTATTTGAGTAATTACTCAAATACTTATAAAATAAAGTATTTAAAATACCACCCAAATACTATCTATTGTAAAGTATTTGAGTATTACTCAAATACTTTTTAGAAGTATTTGAAAAAATTTTCAAATACAAAACAAAAAAATAACTACGTATACGACATACCTTACCTACCTAATGTTCGTATTATATTTCGCTATGATAATATACTATATTGGTAGGTAGTAGGTACCGAAACGTACCGTTCCAATCGTCGTCGAGTGTCGACGATAAACAGACGGTTTCTCAGAGTAACTAATATTAATTAGCTATTAATAGACGAAAACTTAAACCAATATAGAATTGTTCATAAATGATAAATATATATTATAATATTATTAAGACATTATTATTATTTGACAATGAATAAAAAGTTGAAGGAATAAAAAAAGTATTCAATAAAATAGTATTCAATAGTAAAAAAATGTATTTAAAATACCGTTCAAATACTTCAAAAATAAAAGTATTTGAAAAAGTATTCAATACGGAAAAAAGTATTTGAATACTTTTACTCAAATACTTTACAACACTGCTGGTAATAGCATGCTACAATCGTTGATAACATTTGTTGATGAACTCAGAAATGATTTTGACGCAATTGAAGATGAAGCAAAAATATTGAGTCTCTCAGTTAATAAAGAATGGTCTAATGGAGGAAAAAACAAACGTAATATTATTCAAAAATATTCGGATGGTACTACATGTCTACATGTCATGAGAGTTTAAAAGGTAGAGATATATTTAGAGTCAACACTTTTTTTGTTATCATTGATAAATTGCATACCGAATTAAAAAAACGTAGCTCAGCTTATGACAATATAACAAATCTTTTTGGATTTTTGACTCGCTTGGACGTGATTGATGATAATTTATTGAAAATCCGTTAATAATTTAGTCAAAGTTTACTCTCGTGATCTAGAAGAAAGTCTATACGACGAATTGAAACAATTCATTGGTATGGTTAAAGTCAAGGAAGATAATAAATTAATAAAAAACCCGGTTAACATGTTAAAAATGATTGTTGAAGATAATCTCTCGGGCGTTTTTCCACATATTTATGTAGCGTTCCGAATTTTTTTAAGTATACCAGTTACTAACTGTGAAAGTGAACGATCTTTTTCTGCACTAACAATAATTAAAAATAAATATCGTTGTATGATGGGTGAATCAAGACTGACATCTCTATCTATTCTTTCAATAGAGTGTGAATTGACTATGAATATTTCATTTGAAAATATTATAAGACAATTTGCCCAGGAAAAATCCAGGAAAAAGTTTTTCAAACATAATAATATTATATAAGATTCAAAATATATGTGTAGGTATATTTTTTTTATTGCATATGTCGAAAAATGTATAAT